TGGTCAAAATTCGGAACTGGCCAAACGACTGTACCTTTCTTGAAAGCACTCCACATCCAGTTGCAAGAGCAATATTACCCTATTATGCATTATCATTGTGAAAATTTGTTTACACTGGTTATAGAGTTATGAATCCGCACCAACGAAAACTTCTCCGACCAGCTCTTGTTCATTATCTTGCATATAAAAATAATTCAAATGCGCCAGCACGAATTAATTGAAGCGAAAAAAAGAGAACATTCAGATTTTTATATTTTATAACAAACCCAAGAAGAGATTCTGAACTGAATGTCATTGATATTTTCGTAGCCCTTCCTGTTTATTTTGATGTATTTAGAATCTATTGACATGTGTACTTTATTTTATTCCATATCCATGGCAGATACGTCGAGTACGTTGTACGTATATACATAAAATTCATGATTTTTAAATCAGAAATTCCTCAAGACTTACGTAAATAACGACGTTTGCGTACATTATTGGGTCCTTGGTATAAAAAGTTGGTCACCTGTTCACAGTCAAATGTGGCCTTAGCCCTCTCCCGCTCTAGATCTGGGTTTACTGTTGACGAGGACATGTTGGGGAGATAGAATTTCTGACCCGGGTGTCCCCAGGTAGACAAACATACAGGCGGGTTATAAATTAGGACTTTCTTATTCGTGATAACAAAACTAAAGAGACCCAATGGCCTTAACGTTCACCTGATGAAATACAACACTGTAAAGGATACAAATAAGTATCTGTACTTAAATTTAACAAATGAACTCCAAAAGGGGTGTTCCAAAGTTCTAATTTACTCCTTTAAGAATACACTACATCCAAAATGATGTATTTAGATTTCACTCGCATTGTAGTTAACCTTCGAGTTGGAGATAACGAGGTTTGACTGTACGCACGTATTGGTTTTTTTTTAAAAAACGTCGTCGGTATGTAGAGACCACAACATAAGACTTTGTCATTCCATGTAGAAGTTTTTTTTAAAATTAATTTTGCTTTCTGGAACATGAAATATATAGAAAAATAGGTCTGCTAATAATGGAGAACAATTGATACCCATAGAAAATCCGGGAGGTCTAATCTATTTTAAAAGAAAAATTTTGACATTAAACTTGTAGATAGAATTTCTGAAGCATTAGAAGGAGGTTAAAAGGACAAACTTTATTTAAAACATGGAAGTACACCCATTCATACAATAGAACAATCCAAGGAAAAGGCGCGAAGATAGCTTACTAGTGACATTTGGCGGGAAGAGAGCGATTCACCCCTTTCGTAGAATGGACGAATCAACTAGTATAGAAATGCAGAAAAAAGGATACACGGACATGTTGAAACGGGTAATTCACATGGAATGACCTGTTCCATGCAAAAAGAGCAAAGGGAGTAAACACTGCAGCACTTTGCATCAGTAATATCATTCTTTTTCTTAATTTTTTTTCTTTAAAATACAAGTGAAGAATTCCAAACAAATATTTTTAAAAAATTCTTACTTGCAAGCCTATTCTGTTTTAGAAATTTATTTATTTTAGGTTAGTATTTGTTTTGATTTTTTTAAAAATTAAATTTTAGATGTAAGTGGAAAGTTAATTTGTTTAAAGTTTGACAGACAAGTGCCAGTTCGGTAACTGATCGAGATATCTCAAATTCACATATCCAGAGATCCAGTAGCTGCAATAATGTAGCTCCCCTTTTATTTTTTTTTTTGGGGGGGGGGGGGGGCCGCACCAGAAAAACAACAGATTAAAAAAAATTGGAGAGGGCAAAATTATTTCAGCTAGAGATCCAGGTACCCTTGAATTACTAAAATGTTAGTACATAATTGTATCTCTTTTTAAAATGATTTTTTGACAAAAATATATTTACAGACGTTACAGTCGATATAGTTTTCTTGGAAAAGTAAATTCAGCCTGGTGTTAGACAGGGTGAACAGGTGAATTATCCTTTGGTTCTAAGTTGTGCAGTTTTCAAAGTTGTTGGAGGGTTGATTAAAACAAGTTTTATTATTACATTTGCTTGTTTTACTGGTTAGTGTAGTGCCCACTTTATATTCTATTGATTTTAATTATTTGGTACTTATCTACATCGGGATCGTTCCGCTATTTGATCGAGATCGGTTTCTTTGTCGATTGTGCATTTCCGATCGAGCTCGAAATCCGCGTAAATTTATTTTGACGGAAGTAACTTAGTAGTTAGTAAGTTTAGTCTAAGTTATTCTAACTGAGTTTAAGTCTTTAGACAACATGATTTGCCATCATTTTGTAAACAAATATTGAAATTGGCCCTGTGGTTCTTGAGAAAAAGTCGAAAAAATGAGTGGAAAAATATAGATAGACGATAGACAGACGCAGGACACTCTTTGATCAGAAAGGCTCTTTGGAGCCTTCAGCAGTTCAGGTGAGCTAAAAATTGGAGAGGGTTACATGTACAGAAATAAGGTATTTAATCCTAAATAGCAACAGATTTGATGGAATTGTACATGTATACATATCAGATGTGTAGGAGTTGAATACTTTGTATATTTAGACATGAATCCCATTTATTACTAGCATGAAGGGTGGGATGTGTTCTAATTTATGACCTTAAATTTTGGTAAGAGTTATCTCCCTTTATTTTTGATTAATAATAATAAAAGAAGAATCAATTTGAAAAAATTATTTTAAATTGCCATTCTATTTCGAATGTTTCAATGCATCTTTCCACTGCAATATTTAATGATATTATTTGAATTTTTATTTTCCAAAAAAAACTTCTTTAATGCAATCTTTGTCAAGTAATTTTAAATGCTTAGTTAGTGAATTTTTTTTAACTTTCTCATGGGCAATGATTTTCTACTATAAAATGATTTAAGTTAATATCAGATTGAAAGTATTATGTACTTGATGGACATTTAACAGGTCCGACACAATCTTTTGATTAAGCTATATAGCTTTATTTAGCTACATATAGCTTTATTAAGCTATTCAGAATGGCTTGATCAAGCTATTTTATCAGACTTTTTTCTCAAATGTGTTATTTTTCAAGCATGTGCAAAAAGTCGCACCTTAGTGCAGTGGAAATATTAAACTTTGAACTCTTCTGAATACAATGCATGTGTAGCATTGTTAATTTCTGAGCATGTAAATACTAAATAATTAATATTCCATCCACAAGACCTGTACTATATTCCTTTTCTTTTAAATGAAAACACAGCGTAAAGTTCACAATTTATTAATGACGATAAATCCAAAGCATAGCATATAAACAAAACAAACAAGTGACTTGGTCAAAACTTTCCTAACTACTACTGCGCTTCTACAATATCTCCCCTTATATACTGAAAAACTTACTCCTCCCATGACGCAATAATCTAACTCCTCTTTCCAAAATGGGTGTTGCTAAAACGCGGAACGGAAAACGGAACGGAAAGCGGAACGGAATGGAAAACGGAAAATTTTTGTCAAACAAATAACATAGATTCGATATAAATCAGATAAAAGAGCAATATTCTTGTTGTAAAAATCATTTCTGATAAAAATTTATTGTAAACAATTATATATTCATGAGTCATACACAACTTCCGTGGAAAAAGTGGTACTGAAAGAAATTTGACCCCCCCCCCCCCCACACACACACACACACACACACACACGAAATAGGATTTTCGTGTTTGGGCAAAGGACATATCACCCTTTTTTTGGGTTTGTCAAATTTGTTGTATGTTGGAAAATTTGTACTGACCCCCCCCCCCCCCTTCTTTCAATTTGTTTCCAATGTCAATGTCTGTAAAGACAAAAATAACTATTTATGATATTCAGATTATGCACGCGCAGTGTCGAATTCGCGAATCTTGAAAGGGGGAGTGGCAGTTCCGGGTCTATGTAGAGGCCCACAGTCACATTAAAAATTGATTTATTAAACCTTATGTGTATTTTGAATACAAAAGGGGACAGACCTATTACAACTTCTCAAACCTTTCCGATGAGTGGAAAAACAAGCTCATTTTTACGGGGTCATTCATATACCCCCCCCCCCCCCAAACATACACACAGTTTTCCCACTTTGTCTTTCCAGAATTTAAATACATAGAAAATGTCTCTATTTTGAATAAAATTTTAACAACCAGTGTGTATAAGAGATGTTTCTTCGAGCTTGCCGTAAAGGTTTGCCCTAAACGTATTATCTTAATAATTTTTTTTACGTTTTATTTCTCTTTCATGGTTCATTTAGATTGATTGTATACTGTTTAACGTCCCTCTCCAGAATATTTCACTGATATGGAGAAATAACCGTTGCCGGTGAAGGGCTGCAAATTTAGGCCTATGCTCGGCATTTACGGCCTTTGAGCAGGGAGGGATCTTTATCGTGCCACACCTGCTGTGACACGGGGCCTCGGTTTATACGGTCTCATCTGAAGGACCGCCCCATTTAGTCGCCTTTTACGACAAGCAAGGTGGTACTGAGAACCTATTCTAACCCGGATCCCCACGGGAATGGTTCATTTAGATATCAAATATTTGATCCCCCAGTCATAACCTTTTTACTACGGAAATGTTCGTTTAAGTTGACATCCTCACACTTTTTGTGAATGTAATTAATGTAGTAAGTTAGTGTAAAAAAATAGTATTGAAAGATGTTGGAATTGGAACCTATCCCCCCTCCCGAATCAAACAATTGTTTTCCTTTTGTGTTTTATCCCCCTCCCCCCCCCCCCCTCTCGAATCAAACAATTGTTTCTTTTTGTGTTTTTGCTTGTCAAATACTTTTCAAGTTCGTTTATCCCCCCCCCCCCCCCCCCTTTTCAAATTCGATTCTAGGTGACTGCTATATGTTAGCGATTTTCGTAAAAAAAAAAAGAGACGGAGCATGATAAAATCAACTTGTATTTAATAGTGGGGGATTGAATATGTACAAAATATATCGTTTATGATAAATTTTGTGTATTTTAAGTGATTTAATCCAAAATAATATATTCCGTTTTCCGTTCCGTTCCGCTTTCCGTTCCGTTTTCCGTTCCGCGTTTTAGCAACACCCTTCCAAAATAACTCCTCCCGGGAATACAAATACAAAATCTAGGTCAGTGCAGAGTAAACGAAATAAATAGGTTACTGAATTACACGTTAGCCAAAATAATAAAATACTATAGTTAACTTTAAATGATTAAACAGTTTATACAAAATAATGAATAGACATAGATATGATAAATCTGCTACACGCAAGTCAAAAAAATATTAGCAATTAAATTAACAATAACAAATATAGAAAAATGCCAATTATGCACAATATTTACAATATTTACAGTCAATATTTCACAAATTTTTAACTTTTGCCATTGTTCTGTCTTTTTAGAGCATCCAGGAATACGGGAATCTCCTGTAGGGCTTCCTCTGTCACTTTAGATATATCGACTCCTTTCAGATCAAGTCCCTCTGAGAAATAAATGTCCAGAGATCGGTCTTCACTTGACACTTCACCATTTTTGTACTTAATAGTTTTCGTCATTGTTATTCCTATCGTATGTGTCACTGTCACTAAATGGTCATCCTCATCCTGTTCGTCTGCGATTTCGTCCTCATCTTCGAATTCGTCGCTTGATATCTCAATCAGATCGCTTTCACAGTATTTCATAGTGTCACTGTCACTCACTGTGTCCTTTCGCACTTCCATAACGAAATCTTCTTCATCACTGGATACGTCACTATAGTCTGGATGTTTAATAATTCTTTCATTGTAATCCATGACGAAAAGTTTACAAATCAAAAGCACTTAAATCGAATTCACTAATTAACTGTTTACAAAAATCTTCATGTCTGGCAGTAACATGTCTCTTCAAATTATCAATTCTGTTGAAACGTTCATTACAAAATCCACATGGGAACAATTTTACGGCATCTTCATGAAGTCTTTTGAAATGTCTTTTGAAATGTCTTTTGAAATTGTCTAATCTTGTGAATAATAAACCACACTTTTCACATAATACTGTCCTCATAACGTTTTATATGGCCCTTCCCCGACTTGTTTTTGTAGATGTACCCCGTTTTTGTGTATCACGTGACTGGTCGGTCGGAGGAGGCTCTGCAGCTGGAATACACGGGCCGTGGTTTGTCTTTGGCGCGCTAACTTTTCTCATGGCTGCGCGGGGATACGGCGGTCTCTTTTGAAGTTGAGGAGGGATCTAGCTCTGGCGTCTCTGTAGTTTTCTCGGGTATTTCCTTGATTATGAGGAGGTGTTTTAGTTTTAGCTGTGCAGTTTTCCGTATTTGGAATGATTTTAGGTTGTCTGTGTGTACAATTACGGGATAAGATTTCCTTGAATGTCTGATTTCAAATAACTCATCACTTAATTTTTTAGTAATAATCCAGGGTCCAGTCCAGTTCCGTGCTAATTTAAGCTTCGTTCCCACTATTTGTTTTGGCTGAAATCTTCTCACAATATCACCTTCATTGTAAGTTTTTCGTACGGCAGTTTTATCGTAATTTTTCTTTTGCCTCCCAAAGTTCTGTCTCGTGCTAATTTGTGAACTAATTCTAAATTTTTACACAAACTTTTCACATATTTTGTCTCTGTTATCTTTTCTCCTTTTCCGATTTCCAGCGATTCTGTTTGTAAATCTATGGGTACAGTCATCTCGGAACCAAACATCATACGGTAAGGTGTAATTCCAGTTGTGTCGTGTACTGACGAGTTATAAGCCATCACGACACAATCTATGTAATCATCCCAGTCAGTTTGTTTCACATTTATATACTTTGACAACATCTCTTTAATTGTTCTGTTTAGTCTTTCCACCATTCCGTTGGATCACGGATGAAATGCAGTTGTTCTTGTTTTCGCAATATCAAACATTGAACACAAATGTTGAAACACTAAACTTTCAAATTGTACACCTTGATCACTATGAAATTCATATGGAAATCCGTATCTTTTAATCCATCCCCGGAAAAAGACAATAGCTATTTTTTTTGCCTCCATGTTCGGTATAGGAAAAATCTCTGCAAATTTTATAAAGTAGTCCGATATAACCAAAATATATACATTGTCATTTGCAGTTTTAGGAAATGGTCCGGCTATATCTGCTGCGACTCTTTCAAATCTTCCACCAGCAATATAAGTTTCCATATAATTCCGCCTTATTCTTCCTGGATTTTTCCTTTCTTCACATGCATCACAGGACTTAACATAATCACGCACACTTTGTTTCATTCCCGGCCAATGATATGAAGAAAGTAAAGCTCGTTGTTGTGTTCTGTAAATTCCCATATGTCCAGAGGTACTGTAAATCACTATTTATTCGCGAGAACTTTATTTTCGCGTTACTACTCGAGACTATATGCTCAAAAATTCCATTCTCACGTTTAATAGTATTCCTTAAGATTATATAGAGGAATGACCACAATTCGTGAAAATTTTATCTCGC